TTTCCCCTGTAATTCTGGTTATCTGCTTGTTTTTGGTCGATACCAAAATTAAAATCTTTTGGCCTCAATTCTACATCCAGCTCACCTTCCTCCAAAATTTTATTATGCCTAATTTCCTTCTTTCCTTTCAATCCCCCCCGCCCCTAATTTTTTCCCTTTATATTTATTTTTTTCCTTTATGGATATTTTATTGATTAATAGCTCGACATAAAATATTGCAAAAATTTTACATTAAGATTTAAAATAAATGGATTAAACTACTGATATCCTACATTAATAATAATAATAGTTTTGAATTTGATGAACAATTGTTTCAGGTTCGCCTGGATACGTATGATTTGTTTGTCTCTATAGAATTAGTATCGTTTTTTATGTATATACAACTTAACCAAATACTTTATAGATTAGATCGTAGATTTCATATTATTAGAAATCATAATAATGTTCCGTTTACTGATATTATAAATATTATAAAATTTTTATATGACAACACCTATTTCTCATTGAATAACAAATTTTATAACTAAATTAGGTGCTGATGTAGTATTCGATAATCTAGAAAGTTATTGTCTTTCTACTCTTACAAATAGATTTTCTCGTATTCCTCAATTCTATTTTACATATGTAGTTGATAATATCTTTTTAATTATTAGGCGTCATCTCATTAGGAAATTCTTTCAAGAATTTTCTAGATATCATTATTATTATGCAAAATAACATAATTCTAACTAACTGCTATAAAAAAAATTTCTTCTAAATATATCTTGGTTCATAGTAAACTTTTATTACTAAACAAATGTTTTAATAAACAAAACAGACAAAACCTTATAGACATAATACTAAACAAACAATACCCGATTTTTACAGTATAACAGTATGCGACTTAAGAAGATTACATTTATTCAATAATGAATCGAAACAAATACAAAACTAATAATAATAATAAGACAGTATTCCACACAACACAAACTACGAAATTATTAAAAAAACGTTTACAGTCGTATAACATTTGTCTCACAAAAGATTTGTAGTAAGTTGTTCTGTTAGTTTTGGACAATTTTGTTATGAAAATAAATTTTAAAAAATTAAAATAAAATTAGAAAAAACCATGTCTGGAACACAAAACTAACATTCTTCAAAATGAATAGCTGAGAATAAAGCCTAACCATACTTCAAAATATCTTTAAACAAAAGTCAAAATGAAACATTTTGATTAAAAATTATCCCTTGGTGTGTGGCCGATCGCAACTATTTAGCAGGTTAGAATGCGAATGACTTCTTAATGTGCCTTTTAACTTCATAGAATTTAGCTTTTGAAAATAAAGATACTAAATCAAATCCTGATATGAATGAAGTTGACTCAAACATTATACAAAGTTTTCCTTTAAATTGTGAGTCTAGATGTTTTGAGTAAAATGTACTCCACTGCTAGTTATCTACATAGTTGAAAATACTTTTACGTTCATCTTGTAAACAAAGCTGACGGAAAAAACGTTAAGCCTATCTTACTTACATCATACTTGTGTAAACTTTTTGAATAGATCATAAAAAGTAGAATGTAGTGGTAAATTGAATAAAACAATCTCCTTTCCAACAGTCAAACTGATTTTTGTGAAGGACAATAGATAACTGACAATCTAATTTTTTTGAATATGCAGAATTGGTTGTAAATACCTTACTGTCATTAAACATAATAATGTTTGTAAAAGGAACATGGTGAGGCGCTTACCCAGAAACGTTCAATTCTGTGTGGAATATGGATACTTCATATACTTTCTAACACAAAACAAAGCAATTGTAAACATTAAACGGATTGAATATTCTTCAATTAGGCTTTCGGAAAAACACACCCACTAACATTCTCTTAGCTGAATCAAAATTATCACTAATACAAGAATGAATAATGTTTTTGTTGGGAAACCTATAAGCGAGCATAGCTTACTATTTTTGCTATAATTTCAGAGTCTGCTTAAGAAGAAACCCAAGTAATGCCATAAAATATTTTCCTCGCTGAATTTTCGAAGCACGCTGAGGACAGATGTCTTCCGGTGAGGCAATAAATGTGTTTTCGATATTTTCGTGTGAAAGGTTGCGTCTAATTGCAGCCTGTTTGACTGCATCTTAGTGCAGCCTCAGTACTTATAACAATAAGAGCTTTACTTTCGATATTTTCTCCGTGCTTACAATATGCATTTCCCATCTATATAAATTATTCATCATTCCACGAGTTTGGTGAGTTGAGTTGAGCTCGAGACTGCTTATTCGCACCTGCAATTTCGCCAGAAATTAGTGCAACATTCACTTAAAAGTTTTTGCTTTGACTCAGTTGATCTGATATTGTGACTGATATCTGACCTAGTGATCAGCATACTTGCCTTCGATTTACTCGTACTATTTTTATCTTGTTTGTTCTTGTTCGGGACTTCTTTCGATTTTTAGCGTATATCTTTCTAACAGTGTCATCCGAATTTTTGTTCCCAATATAAATGTGAGTCGTTAAAATTCGAACAAAAGACGCGGAAGGATTTTTTACAGCAATATACAAAAATTTTATATAAAGTCATCTATTGACTCATTTTCTGTGTAGAATACATTTGCGTAATTCGTCATATACATTTACGTGATACAATGTCGCACTGGATTGCAAACGAAAGTATTTCATGAAATCTGTAAACAATGACCAATTTTTCTTATTTGCGTCAGACCACTTTGACATCTTAATACTAGTAAACACGATAGCTAAGGCCACTAATATCTCATTGTCTGATCGATCATAAAATTTCTTGTAGTACCATTGAATTTTCATTACAGATATTGTTTGATGACAAACCTCACTCATTAGTAAATTGCATTCGCGTAATGCACTTACGGTATCAGCACAATAACTATTATACAGTCGATTAGTACATATTTGTTTATTTATTTTTACTAGCAATCTACATGCGCGCTTCGCTCACGGTAAACGTGCGGTATAGAAATAATATGAATGTTTATTTTATAATTTTTTATTTTTCTCATAAACGTTTCTTATAAATATAAACGTAATTATTGATTTTTGTTCAAGCATATGATTTCCAAAAAATATTTTAATAGTAATCCATGATCTAACTCGAAAAATACAATATATAATTATCCGTAACTAAAGACATCTCTACGTAAGTCGATGGCCACTTTCATCCTTGAAATTTGTAAATAGTCATAATACGTGTTAATTTGATTGGAAATTGTTTTGTTTTAAAAGCAAACAGATATTGGTTTTCGCAATTAAAATTGATCAAATTGATACGAAGACATAAATTTTACCAGCTTTTGACGAGAGATTTGCGAGTATAAAACCGCCAGCCAAAATCTCGCCACCTAATAGCCGTCGGTAACACGTCTTCCCGACTTATCATCGGGTGCCAGACTGTTCTTTTATTGCAGTAGTGGTCGGGAATGGGAATCAGAAATAATGCTAGATTACCTCACATAAAGCCTATCGACTTTGATAGGGGCTGGAATTTGCGTTGTTCAACGACCGGGTTTTCCATCATCAAATCGGGCAGCTGCCTCTCCTAATGGCTTATTCTTATTCCTTGTTCTTGTGTATATCCGAAGTTGACCGAGCTAGCTTTTGTAGGCAACTCTATTTTCCAGGATAGGAAGCGAGTGGGATTTATAATGAAACGAACAATTCATGTTTGTTACCTTTTGAATTTATGTTGTAGCGAGTCGATTTTGACGAAAATCTTAGATCTATCTAAGAATTCGCAGACTGTTAACTCTTGTGAGTACTTAAATTACTAATCAAGTCTGACATTTCGATCGCGGCTACAAATTAAATGACACCATGCAGGAAGAAGGTACGCGACTTGAGTCAGAGGAAAGAGTCCAATAAATCACATAAAATTTATTTACTACAGGAATTAGACGGTCATCCCCTCATTCGTTGGTCAATTTTTATTATTCCTATTTCGCTTTATTTAAAATTTCATTTTATCTCAATTTTACTTGTTTGCCTCGGTACAATATGCGAGTCATGTACGTAATTTAGTATGTAATCTACTACGTATAGGCAATTCTCAGTACCAATTTAAATTTTTTTCAAATTCGTAATTTCGTCTCATCTTATTATGATCAATCTCGTTCGTTCTTATTTGGCGTAAATTTCGCCGCCGTACCCCTACCTTATTGATCACGGGCGGTTGAACTCGTACAGATTCTCCGTTGATTGCGTTCGATGGGTCCACCGTCTGCTGTTGCTTCACACGAGAGCAGGTGTGTCTCAAATCGCTTAGAGGTGTCTTAGTCTCACTAGAAGGGCGCAGGAGAAATTTTTCGCTTATCGATCTAACTTATCTCGCGGCCGCGGAGTCGTTTGTAGGGGAGGTGGCTTCTCAATTCGAAGCTTCTCGCCGCTAGTTTTAGCAACGAAGCATTTGTAGATCGCTCATTGTTGTGATAAAAGTCACTGACCAATGATCTATCAACCACGAGTCGAATCTGTATGTTTGCTCATCGCTCTCTGCAATGCACAGCATCGACTTCAAGCACTTGTGTGCCTGCAAATCGACTTGCTCCAGAACTGCAAAGAACGATAAGTTGTACTACCTGTATATAAACTTTATATGTACATCTGGTCTTTATAAAAAATCATGTTATTCAGATCCTTATTCTTAAAAGATCTTTCAAGGTCCAAGTTATTTGTAACTTTTTTCAGTAAGATTTGTAATAAATTTGAAAATTTCTGAGAATTTTTCCAACATTCCACGATTTCCTATTTGATAAACAGCAAGTTCTAAAATTACACAATCATTAATCAATATAAAACAGAGAATCTTTACTTATGCACAGAAAAAACTCGCTTGATTAATTTATCAATGTATAGATTAAAGTGAAAAATAAAATATTAATGTTCTGAATATATAGTTAGCAATGAGGTCAGATGAATAACTAATTTATTATTCGTCATAAAAAGCTATCATACAGTAGATTTATTAAAATTAAATAAAATAATTTACCTGATATTCAATGTCTGATGTATTACCAGATGCAGACGTTAATTCTTGTTGTCTACTTCTTTTGTTTTTTGGACTTGAAAGCTGCTCTTGTCTAGAAAGATCCATATTTTCATTCAAATTAGATCCAGTAGAATCTAATGTTCTAGGACGTTTAATTCCATTCGAAGGGTGTGATGTACTAACAGGTTGTGTAGAACTACTTGGCACAGTCTGTTGATCACTTGGTAAAGATTGTTGTTGTTGCTGTTCAATACGTGGGCTCACTAAAGCTACTGCTTGTTGAGGACATGCTTGCTGTTGCTGTTGATCAACTTCAGGTTCTTCTCGCAAAGTAGATTCAGCCGATTCATTTATTTGAGTTTGAATCAAATGCTGTCTACTTGTACTGACAGGCTGATAATCAATATGAGAACTGGTGGGGGAGCTGGTTTCAGTAGTATGTACTAATTGCTGCGAAGACTGTTGAGATGCTGAAAGTAGAGGATTTCCAACTGTTGTTGGTAAAACCGCAGCTGTACGAGATTGCACTACGACGCTCATTGGACGAATACTAGCTAGTGGTGTTTCTGCACGAGCTGACATTGGTTTAATATTAGCCGTTGGAGGCTCACTTGTCCCAGTATTAGGATTACCTTGCCCGACTAATTGTCGCTGTAACTGTGTAGCACGCTGTATCAGAGACTCCTTTTCCGCTTGAAGATCCGAACGTTCATGTTCTAGACGTGAGATTCTACCTTCCATTTGAGATTTAAGCGCTGCAAGTCTAGTTTCGTATTCACTTGTACTTGATTCAATTTCGGAAGTACTCGATTCAAGTTTCTCTTTGAGTTCGTTTACTTCTTTTTCACAATATTTTTTATATTCTGTAAGCTGCATAATTTTCGTTCGAGCTCCTTTCAAAACTTGCTTTGCTTTTTCTTCTTTTTCAAGGCTAGTTTTATTTATTAGTTCTATTTCTTTTTTAAGATTATCGGATTCCGATTGCATAGATATAATTTTTCGATTAAGCTCTTCAACCTTTAGAGTCAATTCTTGATTGACTTGTCGAAACTCTGAACGTCCTTCTTCTCTTAATTTACTTTCTCGTTCTGATATCAATTGTGAATCATCTTCAATTATTTGCTTTTGTCCTATTACTTGGTTACTTACAATTTGACTTTCTATCCGCATTTTCTCTTCTTCCAAAGTCTTTGATAGTTCTTCGTATTGTGTTTTATATTTTTTGGCTATTTTACGTATTTGAATTTCTTTATTTCTCACGTCAACTAAAAGTGCTTCTTTATCTAGAATTTCTTTTTTCAAATTTTCTATTTCTTTCAACTTTTGGTTTAAATTCGAGTTAACATCATTAAAGTTATTATTCAATAGTTGGTTATCGTCCGTGATTCGTGATATTACTTCTTCTCTAGATTGTATTTGTTTTTGAATTTGAGAGAATTGATCCTCTAATCGCGACTTCTCATTTTTTAAAATATTCAATTCATCCATACATTTAGCGTGAACTTCACGTTCTGAAGTTAAAAGTTTACTTAAGTTTTCTCTTTCAGTTTGTAACCTGCGCCAATCCTCGGGAGTTGCTTTACTGGAACGTTCTATAAGAGTGTTAGCTCTTTGTCTCCATCGCAAAACTTCACTTTTCAAACTATTATTTTCTTGAATCAAAGACTCATTTTTAGCTTGCAGATCGGAAACTTTTTCACGCAATGGTATAACTTCTTCAGATAATTGCTTTACTTTACATGTCAACTCTCCAATTTTATTATTCAAAAGGTCTCTTTCTTCTCGAAGGACTCTGTTGGAATCTGTTATAGCATTCAAAGTCTCTACTTTACGTAAAAGCTCTGCATGTTTTGAAACAGTGAGCACATCAATTTCATTATTTTCTCGGTCACGATCAATTGATTTTTTCAATTCTTCAAAACGCTTTTCAGACAGATCAATTTGGGATTTTAATCTAGAATTTTCGGATTTAAGAACATCAAATTTAGCAAGTGCTAAATCTTTTTCGCGGCGTAAGTACTTCATGACTTGGAGTAATTGTTCTACTGATTTTTGATCTTCCTCGTCAAAACTACGATTTACAAATTCTAAATTTATAGAACTATTGAAATCACTGGTACTGATATTTTGACTGTGAAGAATTGCAGTACGTTCACTTAATTCTTGAATTTGATTATGTAAAAGGATATTTTGTGCATCCAAATCTTCTATTCGTTTTTTTAATTCTTCAATTTCATTAACATATCGCTGTTCTCTTTCCTGCCACATTGATTTTTCAAGGTGGAGCATACTTTTGGCTGAATCATGTTCTTGCATTAACTCTGCTAGTTTATCTGTAATTTTTTGATTCTCCTCTTTTATTTTGGTAAGCATTTGTAAATCGGCAGAATGTAAAACCATTTCTCTTGCATACTTATCTTCAGCTACACTGGCAGCAATTACAGCTGCTTTTAATTCCAATTTTATATTATCAAGTTCTATTTTTATTTCATCAAAGGCTTGAACTTTTTCTTCAGAATCAGATATTATCTTTCTCAATTCTGAATCAGAATCTTCACGGACATTTGACAGTTTGGATATTTTTTCTTCTAACAATTTTATTGTATTATTTAAATCCCCTACTTTATCTTCTGATTTTTTCATGTTTACATTATAATCTTTTTCTAATTTTCTGAATTGGTCTGTCATTTCTCTAAGTTGAGCTTCTGTACTTTCTGCAATATCACAATATTGCTGTCCTTGGAAACGAGCAGCTTTCAGTTGATCAATCAAAGATTTAATTTCTGATTGATTGTTAACTAACTGAATCTCAAGATCCTTGATTTTTTTGTTTAAACTATCATCTCCTGAAAGAAAGAAAAATGAAAATAATAAAATTAATATTTTTATATTTTGCGGGTGGATCATTATCTATTAAACAAATAAAAAGATAAAATAGGTATCGAAGTTCAAGAGAATCTGTACACATCAACAGATTAAGAACTTAATCATATTTTCTAATTAATATATCGCGAAATTCCACATTAAATCATTACTAAACGACAGACTCTTGATATACGAAAGTCATTAAGGGCTCTACGCAACGAAAAAAGTTTTCATAACTTCATCTCATACACATAATGAAAGTTACAGCTGAATTAAAACGAAAAAATGTTGGTATGCTCCTTTTAACGTAAAATTCTGAATAGTCTTTTCCAAAAACTGATAAGTATTTTGTAACCAAAAAGCGACCGAAAAATTGAAATGTTAATCCCATGATCAATTATTTAATGAGATGGTTTCGTGAGAAACCAACGTTCACATGACTAAACAGTATATTAGGCATGTACACTAATCATACGCAAAGTTAACATCAAGATAAGGATCCGTGATAGGGTGAAACATTGTGACACTCGCTTAATATTGATGCGCTTCATTCGAACATGACCCTATACACTATAACGGGGTTTTAGCTCGTGCTCTTTCCGGGCTAAATCAGTTATATAATAAATAGTTCTCGCGGATTAACATTTTAACAAAGCGAAGTGCGCTATCCAAGACAACCCTGTGCGCCAGTGCGAACAGTGCTTGGGTCCAGCCGCATCAGCTTGCCTCTTTCCTTACGTAGAAATTCGGCCCGCGGAGAGTGTCGTGAGCCACAGGTTACTTGGTGAGGGACAACCTAAAGAGTCTCGCGGCGAAGTAGTTATACAATAGGGCAAGTGTATCGGAATAAGTTGCTGCGGATTTTGGTAGAAACGAATCGTGTATTTCAGGCACTTACGAATACATACAAGCGGGCGTGGAGGCGAAATGTGAACGGCAGCGAACAAGGCGACGACGCAACGCAGTGCGCCGATCTTGTCAGCAACCGAACAAGATCGGACAACGAATTCGCTTAAAGCGGCTCGAGGCAAGACGCAATGCCGAGCAAAATGACAGAGGGCGTAAGTCGGGCGAAAAACTAAAGTGACAAATGCAGTTAGCAAGCAATAGGAGAGAGAGAGAGCCTAAGAGAGAGAGAGAGAATCGAGTAGGTACTTACAGTAGTTGTCGTCGGTTATTAGAACGGCAGCAACGCACGAACAGTGGATCGCGACCACGCTTACTCCTGTCCTACACTCGAGCGGGCGTTCTCGCTTTCTAGCCTTATAGCTGACGGAATTCCGGTCAACATCAGCTATGCGCCTTCGCTTATCGCTGGCGATCTTTGGACTCGTATAATCGCCACTGCGTACTCGCTTACTCCCTCGAGATCTCTCGTAACGCAAAAGAAAATGTGTTACTGTCAAACTATGCTAGCGTCCGTACTTGTCCCTGCTCGCATGCCAACTAACTCATTGCGCGCTCTCCTTCTCTCTCTCCTTCGCGATCGCGGTCTCTCCGCGACATCCGCGCTAGGGACTATCGATAGTATAGATCGTAGGACTCGACTCTTACCTTGTTCGCTGACATTTCAACTGCGCTACAAATTACAAATTATTATAATACATGGTAAAATATAAATATGATTAATAAACAGACTGGCCGCAGGGAGAGAGAGACATAACGAGAATGCGACTCGTTATAACACAAAACAACTGACCGGTATATAACAATACTGTGGCGCCCACGACACATACATAACGGCGTGAATTCGTACCGTACTTGGAGAGGTTAACGGCAACACTGCCCAATGCCTATGAACTCTTCACCAACAATCTCAAACACAGCAGCTGATTAAGATATACGAAAGGGCCGGCGAAATAACTCAACCACACAAACGCAATAGATACATCCAAACACCGGAGATATATAGATACGAGTAAAGAGAAAATCCGTTATTTACTCTAAGGCAAAAATTAAAAATACTTTCTTTAATAATATATAGCATAGAATTTAGCCAATGATCTATCACAATATGACTACAAATACGAATAATGGATAGAATATTGGATAGAATTTTATAAAAAGTCATGAAGACATGTCAAACCCATAAATAGAGATATTCAAGAATAGATGCATTATCACAGTTAAGCAAAATTAGTATAATTTTTTTTATCTAGGGAGAGACTAGTAATGCAGTTATTAACAATATTTACTTATCCCAAAGTAATTATAAATTGGTTAAATAAAGGTAAAAATATATGTTGTATTACATTACAATAATATTGTAGTCCAGCAGAGGAAATCAATCCCTGTTCTCTGGTGTGGATACAAAAAACAAAATAATACTAAACTAAATGAAAAAAAAAGAAAGAAAAAGAAAAAATTTCTGTTTATATTATATTACTTCCATAATCTTTTTCCTCACCAATATCTAATAAGCATTTGCCTAGCTGTAGTAAAACACTCTGTTGTTGCTTTTATATTATTTGCATACATCCTCTTTTTCATGTTCGTCAGTCTTTTGGTTATAGTTTATAACGGGGTTTTGACCCAGCGCGGGTCACTCGTTATATAAATTACGAGGGGAATAAACAGCTCGGTGTGGGCCTCGTAATAGGCTGCGCAAAGCCTAGCCCAGCGGCAACAGGAACGTCGTGGTGCAGCGTCTGTTACCTTGGCCCGCGGAGAGCGTCGTGTAGTCCTATGGGCGCTTTGGAATAATCACGAAGTTTAGGTGCGAAAGCCGGACGGAACGGGATTGATTACGATAGGTAAAAGGAAGCGCAAAAGAAGAAAACAGATATACAAATAACGTCGGGTTTACTACGGAGAGTAATACAAAATTAATACGCAGCGTAAGCGGGAGAGAGAGCGGCGAAAAGCTAGCGAGAGAAACATGTATTCGAGAAGGTACTTACAATAACGTCTCGGCGTTAGCCCTGCAGGCGATATCCCCCAGCCTCGCACGTGGCTCGCGATGACGCGCAGTGTACAGCTCGGGTGCAGTCAAGAAGCGGGCGGCCTTAAAGGCTCGCACGCGCGGTCGCAGGAACTAGCCCGCCAAAGGCACTAGGGGCAATCTCGGCACCGATATCTCACACCGAGTGGACACTCGCGTATTCGCAGGCAACCAAAATGTCAGTCACAAGAGTTAGTCGCGAAAAGTCGAGTAACAAAAGGTCGCAAGCACAAGTATAGCCGCTCGTCACACGTCCACGTGCTTCGTCGTCGCCGGTACAAGAGCGAGTCCTTATCGCGCGCCTCTCCGAACTCTTCTACTCGCGCGCGTCACGCCGGCCTCCCGAATTCTCTCTCTCTAGCTCGCCCTCTATTAGCGCTCTCTCTGACTTACCTTTGGCTGCCATACATGTGGGATAATTATAAGACAATTATATATATAAGAATAATTATAATTATGTATGGGGAGAGAGAGACATAACGAGGGTCTGGCCGCTCGTTATAAGTTTTAATGCGTACGTTGAATTTATAAAAATTTGATTACCTTCATTCCTCTATCAAAATATAACAACGCTTTATTGCACAGGCCAACAAAATTTTATAAAAGTCAAGAACCTGAAACCAGACATAGTATATAGATTTTTGTGCGTTTATTCCGAATCTAGGCTTAGAATTTCTCTATCACCCTTCGTTTTCCAGATATCTTAATCTAAAAGCGACAAAATATGCTTTTTTGCTATACAAGGGTCGTTTGAAAACTCCGTGCAAAAATAAAAACTGCTTGATTTTTTTTAATAAATCTTTTTTATTTTTCAACATAGTCTTCTTTTAGGCTTATACACTTCATCCAACGCTGCTCTAGTTTGTTAATCGCTTCCAAATAATAGGATTTGTTCAATTCTGTAAAATAGGCATTCGTTTCTGCAATCACCTCCTCGTTTGAATAAAATCTTTTCCCCGCCAGCCATTTTTTCATATTAGGGAACAAATAGTAGTCCGACGGAGCCAAGTCTGGAGAATAGGGGGGATGTGAAACGAGTTGGATCCCTATCGCCATCAGTTTTGCGGCCACAATTGCTGAAGCGTGAGCTGGCCCATTGTCGTGATGGAAGAGGACTTTTTTGTGGGCCAATCGTGGACGTTTCTCTAGCAACTCGGTTTTCAAACGATCCAATAATGATGAATAATATTCGCCTGTAATGGTTTTACCCTTTTTCAGATAGTCAATGAAGATTATTCCTTGCGAATCCCAAAAGACAGTCGCCATAACCTTCCCGGCCGAAGGAATTGTCTTCACCTTTTTCAGAGCAGATTCCCCCTTGGTAACCCATTGTTTAGACTGCTCTTTGGTCTCAGGAGTGTAGTGATGTATCCATGTTTCATCTACAGTGATGAAACGACGCTTAAACTCTTGCGGATTTTGCTCAAACAGCTGCAAACCATTCTTGCAACACTTCACACGATCTCGTTTTTGGTCAATCGTGAGCAATCGCAGCACCCATCTAGCGGATAGCTTTTTCATGTCCATGTTTATCAAGCTTCTATTTAATCTCCTGAGGCGTTTTGCCTTTGAAAAAGTAATGTTTAATCAATACACGAAATTCTTTTTCGTTCATTTTTTTACAACCACTCGATTTCTTTGATTGAAACGAATGTAAAACGCAAAGTAATTGGCTGATCAATTGGCCGAAAATAATCTTGATACGCACTAGTAGCGCCATCTCTCTGACTTTGCACGGACTTTTCAAACGACCCTCGTATTTGACCACCTGTAATATGACGAAGGATTTTTTCTGCGCAATTCTGATCTAAAATAGCAGCTCTTGGGCTACAAAAAGCACTATTCAAAATTAATTTTATAATTTTTTCAATGAAGATATGGTCATTTGAAAAATGTTGGATTTGAACATTCTACTATAGGCTTATAATAACATGAAATTCGATTGTGATGTTAATATCACCTATTATTTTATATTTTTGTGTTCTCGTGGTTGTCGCGTTAATGAGTAAGAATTCGTTTGAGTATTGAATTTAAAAATTG